CTTGTGGTACTCTATTGCTCGTTGGAAGTCGCCGAGAGAGTAATAAGCATTGCCGAGATTTCCATAGGCACGTCCTTCTCCGGCCCTGTCGCCGACGTCCTTCGCAATGCTAAGGTCTTTCTCGTGGTACTCTATTGCTCGTTGGAAATCGCCGAGAGAGTCATAAGCATTGCCGAGATTTCCATAGGCCTTTCCTTCTCCGGCCCTGTCGCCGACGTCCTTGGCAATGCTAAGGTCTTTCTCGTGGTACTCTATTGCTCGTTGGAAGTCGCCGAGAGAGCGATAAGCATTGCCGAGATTGCAATAGGCACCTCCTTCTCCGGCCCTGTCGCCGACGTCCTTGGCAATGCTAAGGTCTTTCTCGTGGTACTCTATTGCTCGTTGGAAGTCGCCGAGAGAGTAATAAGCATTGCCGAGATTTCCATAGGCCTTTCCTTCTCTGGCCCTGTCGCCGACGTCCTTGGCAATGCTAAGGTCTTTCTCGTGGTACTCTATTGCTCGTTGGAAGTCGCCGAGAGAGTAATAAGCATTGCCTAGATTGCAATAGGCACGTCCTTCTTCTAACCTGCTGTTATTTTGCTTGGCTTCTAAAAGACGCTCCTTAAGATTTTCAACTCGTTTTAGTATCCTCTGTGTCATTCTTAAATCTTAATATTGCAATTGTGATTGCTTCTTGAATGTAATAGGCCTAGAGAAAAAAATTGTTATGAAAGCAATCATAGAACACGCAAATAAGAAAATAAGAAAAGAAAAAGGTTTTTCTTTCATGGGCTAATTAACAATTACATGAACCCCAACAACTATAACACCCCCCACCCCCCCGTTCCCTTCTCATGCTCAGTGGACAACTTTCAAAGGTGTTCCCAAATATTCCTGTCGGACTTAACCGAAATAATCTTTTCCATTTGATTTGTAACCGAATTTCCTGAAGTTTGGACGGAATAGAAAGCGCCCATCTTTTTTCTCACACGAGTATAAACGTCGTTCGAAATTCTGCCTAGACGTACCGCTTTTATTTCATTTTTATATTTTACATGTGGAAAAAAAGGTTGTTCGCTTTTGTGATTGCCTAAAACTTATCTGCATATGAAAATTTACTCAATTGCTTTTTGGTGGGTATATCTCAGTATATGCTGCATTTTTGAAAACGTCATCTCCCAACAGTTTTTATTCGGCCAAGAACTACCTTCAAAATAGCCATTATAAAGACTAAGAGTGAAAGCAATGCTTTTTTTCTCTTTTGCTGGTGGTTTCTTGGTGTTACGGATCATCAAATGACGTCACCTTTACCCTATTTTGTTCTATTCTAATGGTTTGTCAACATCATCGAGTTGAAGTTTTTATTCAAACTTTAAAAATCCTCACTTCGGTATTTCTGTCGGGTTTATCAGGACCGACAATTTACTGACAACTTTTGACTTAACAATGTCAGAGTTCAATTTCAACCTGATTTCTACTGCTTAAAAAGTTCATCGACGTCTGAGCTGCTGACGTGAAGTCCACTGTAGCTTTTAAGGAACTACATTTGACGGACGGGTATACGGATTTCACGCCTTTCAGGTGAAAGTCATCCTACAAAAACTTGTCCTACTCCTGGTCCTACCCTCCTCTTAACCGTCACTATAAAATTATTTTGGTCAGTCAGCAAGTCTTTATTTTCAAAACATACAATAGCACAGGGTCCAGAGGAGATGTGTTTGTCGTTAGAACATCAAAACCCGTCGAAAACCTGGCTGGCTTATTTTGATCGCGTTGCAGTTTCGTTACACATTCTATAGACCGCAAGCCAAGAGACTGAGGGCTCGCAAGATCGGCTTACAGTGTAAAATACGGATGTCCTTTCTTTTACTCGGCACTTCGTGCCTTGGTCGCCCTTCGGGCGACGTGCCGTGCGCCAGCGAGGATATGGCTTGCGGTTATTGATTTTCAAAAGTCGATCTGGGTCAGATAAGAAGCGAAGAAATCGTTTGCAGTAGATTTATAAAAATCCCATTGGGCTAATTAATCGTGCTAAGTGACAGGTATAGACATTTTTCAAGGTGAGACTTTAAATAAGTTATTCATTTATTCACACGAAACGCCTCTGTACCCTGTGACAATAGTCAAGAAACGATTTTTATTTTGGAATTAACATGACGAAATGTATTGTCAATTCATCAACTTCAGTTTTAACAAGAAAAGGAAACAAAAACAAATTAATAATGAATGCAGCTATGAATTTGTTGACAGGCTGAAAAGTTTAGAATTGAAAAACTTCCTTTATTGATTTCTTTTTCCAGAAACCAAAATCATTTTTGAAAATTATAAAACTACCAGTTTATTATTATTATTATTATTATTATTATTATTATTATTATTATTATTATTATTATTATTATTATTATTTAAGGATAATGATTGCCAATTGAGGCTGTGTTCACACTATACCGGATAGCTTTTACAGCTCTCCACTTTAGAGATCGGCGCGGCGCAGCGTCGCTCCGTTACAAAACTTGGGCCGAAATCACCGTCTTGTGCGTGAACAGAAGGTTTTCGTGCCGGCGCAAAAGCTTTCTGGTGCAGTTTGAACATTGTTTAAATGTGAGGCACTTACAATCGTTTCCTTTTTTCCCCTCTTTTCAGCTCCTTCACCTCGGTGAATCAAACTTGGAACTAACAAAGAAAGAAAAATTAAAAAAGATATTTTGTTACAAGACGAGGAATGGTAAGAAAGAATAATTTTCGAGCTTGGATATGTTCTATATAAATCCTATAGTTTTTCCACGAGGACAAACTTACGCGTTTGCAGCCGAGCAAGCAGTTAACCGCAATCCTTTTGAAACGAAATCGCGATCTTTTTTTTAAATTTGTTTCGCCCCATGAAAGGGAGTCCAACACAGTCTTAGACTCTGGATTCCACGACGTCGATTCCACCGGGATTCCAGGTACTTGGGATTCCAGTCATTTTCAGTGGAATTTGTATTCCGGATTCAAATCTTAAGTGGGATTCAGGATTCCTTCAGCTGCATGTATTCGGATTGCCTTACACGTGACGATTGGTTAAACATTTTTCCACGTTTCTTAGCACACATTCGTCAGTCACAAAACATGAAAAACTAATTTTAGAAAATTGTTTGAACTTATATCAACCTAGAGAAGATTTACATTACGCCATCTAGTTGAATTGCCGGGTCTCAACTATTCCATGATCTAGTGGCAACCAGGGCTAGCCCGGCTCATATAATAAAATCAGGCTCAAATTGTTAGTATGTTTTTATTGTGCCTTGTAGTTAATGTGCTGCATAACTTCCTTGAGTTAAAGGCAGAGAATTTCGGACGCAGCCGGATATACGACGATTTTCTGACCTCTATGCTGGTTTGTAAATGACTAACCTGCCTGTAAGTTTAACTTCTGGATACTGTGTTGAATTCAGTAAATTGCTTGAAATAATTCAGCCAAGCTCTCCCTAAAAGGATATATAATTTCTGATTGCTAAGAATGTCTGCAGGTAGTTAACAAGGGCTTACATCTTTACACCTAACATCGTAAACCATTCCGACATGCGAAACAGTATTTTTACAACGAATTCCAAATTAAATTTGTGCAAGCATACACAGTCAGTTTTAAACTGGCCTTAGTTAGAACGTAACATTATCGGTAAATAAAATCGTACAAAAAGGGGTTTAAATTTAAGATAGTTTTGTCTACAAATAGTTTTGCTCACCAGTCACTGAGGCTTCAAACAATAAGTGGCAGCTGTGGAAGCTAGCCAATAAAGTGAGAATGTTTTAGAGTAGATTGAAAAAAAAACCCAGTTTGATTCCACTTTGGAATAGTCGATAGGTAAAGAATCTGGCCTACTGCGTTGCTCGGCGGAGCTGTTTAAAATACTGACCGATCTTGCGCAATTTTCCGTGTCACTACATTTGTCGAGTAGTTTCCTTTTTTCGCAGTAAATCAATACCCCCGGCGTAGTCAATCGAACGTTCGGTTATGGAACCCAATCGAACTCCAGTTGTACGATTGACTTCGATTGGGTTCGGTAATCGAACTTAATCGAACTCACCTAAACATTTTGCCAGTCAAACACAATCCCGGGGGGGGGGTTACTTCCTTATAAGAGGTTAATGGGGATGTGCCGCCTAATGGGGTCGCATTTTCACGACTGGATTCACTATAATAGGGTCGCGTTTTCAATAGCATTACTAGAATGCGGTCGCACATTTTCGGATTTTTAGGGTAAAGCCTGGTTTTCACTAGCGCATAACCATAAGCATAAGGACATACGCACACGCAGAATGGCATATTTGACTCAATTCTCGATACCAGCTCTCCTCAATCCAATGATTAACAAAATGGCGGACGAAGCGTCCGCCATATTGCTTTTCAAATGTTCGCATGAGGTGTGGGTCAAAGTGATCTATGATTGGTCCAAGTCGGCCCTTGTGCTTATGCTTGTGCTTATCTATGTCGACCCAGTTTTCACTCATAGTCAAAACTAGGACATAAGCATAAGCACAAGAAGAACGTCCTTGTTCGTTATTCTTGTGCTTATGCTTACGCTTATGTCGACCCAGTTTTCACTTGCTTACATATGTGCTTGTGCTTGTTATGCTTATGCGCTAGTGAAAAGCAGGCTTAAGACAGTTCTTCATATTTACGGTTAGCAAACGCACGGGAATGTTGTACTGCACGTGAAAAGAAAAGTTTTCTTCATTCAATGTAAGGTAGATACATAAATAGAAAGTGACTCAGTTGGGATCACGAAAATTACATATTAGCCTAAACGTGACTAAAATGGAGCTCTATAATTGGCCACAGAATAGACTATAATGGGCTAGGGGTTCTGAGAGGCCAGCGGCAGTACCACCCAAGGGCACAATCGAACATTCGGAAATCAAACACTTAAACAATCGAACATAATCGAACACAGCCGGAACAACCGAACATAAGCCTGTTTTATCTGGTTTCAAGCAAGGCGTTACATTAAATAAGTTAAGTATCAATTGCCTGGCTTCAATTTCAAACACTAGTACGCAAAGATGTCACAGACTGGGCGGAAAAAGGAATGCTCTTTCTCCGTCGATGTCGGTATTATTTGTTTTACTTTTAATGAAGCCTTGTTATGCCAAAAGTTTAGCTTGTATTGCTTCTGTTGTGCAACAGCTTTTACAAACGCCACTTGTAGTTTTAATAGACATTTACTTCGAGATAATGAGAACACTAATAGCGCTAGCTATAATGACTATTTTGTATACGCTCTACACTGTTCAGTGCGTTCAGATCAAGTTACAGTGATCCTTTTTTAACTATCGATACCTTATCGAAGAAGAGTTGACTTTTCTGGTATCCTAAGAATATCCCCAGTCATTGGTAGTGTCCCGGGAAAGACATTTTACATGCATTTTTTACGGTGCCATTCATGTTTCGGAGCATTAATTGTGAATTTATCGGTTTTCAAACACTTTAACAATAAATATTTTAGTTAATTCCGGATAAATTAAAAAAATGTTGTTGTTAAACTGCTTGACATACATCCTAGAGGGAGATCTTTTGGATTAATTCTATTAAAACTGGCTGCGTTTTGTCTTTCTACCGAACAAAATAGAACTTGATCAGGTCGATTGAGTTCGGTAATCGAACTCACCGAAAAGTCCCA